AAATATAATAAATATATATATAATTTTAATTATATAAATAGATGTAACATGTCATTTATATAAAACAATTAAAACCGATCAGATAAATAATTCTATACCCTTGTACTTGTTACTTGATATCTATTTTCATACTGATTACTTATCTAATTTTTTACTGTTCAAATAATATACTTAAATGAGTAAAATACTTGCAAAAAATTAGCATATCAGTATTCAATGCTCACCCCTAACAAGATCAACTATAGAAATCTTGACCGGTATTGAGCAGAAATTGGTCACGGTTCTAAAGTGTTGCATTTTCCACTGTTATCAGTAGGGCTGTTTGCGGTGATTTGGTTCAAATTTTAATATTTTTTAAATCAATCTAATTTAATCAGTTATTAAAATTTTTAAACTAATTCAATCTACTATTATATGATAATCAAATTAATCCAATTTAAATCGGATCGGTGTGGTTCAATCAGATTGATTAATTTTTAACATTATTAAATATATAAGATAATGTAAAAATATTTTAACATCAAATAAAAAGCATAACTATAAAACACATTAGCATGCAAATCAGCAAAAAATAATAAAAAATACAAATTATAAACGAGTTCTTATATTCTTTTACATTTGTAAAAATTGAAAAGATCTGAAAATTCTTTTTGGTTACATCATTTGAGGCACTAAAAATAATGAAAGATGACTTCAAATTTTTAGTATAGCATAAATAATTCTCAATAATTAAAATTAGTTTTTTTTAATGCATTAATAATTTAATCCCATCTTTTAAATCATGTTAAAAGTAAATAAAATTTAACATGAATATCACTAAAATTGATAAGAAGCATTCATAATCAAAATTTAAAACTTCTAAACAAATATCCAATAATAGTAAAATATCAAGATTAATTTTATTATATAGTTTTAAGATTTTTAGAATGATATTTATTTAAAACTTAAGAGAATTATAAATTATTTTACGAATAAATTAAAATTTTAAGACTCTAAGAGTAAAGGTATAAACCAATTCTAAAGGAATAAAGTTACAGGTAAATTAAAAATTAAAAATTAAAATTAAAGTGCATGATTAAAATGAAAAAATAATTTTAAAAATATAAAGATCTTTTATTTTTAATTTTTAATTAAGTTAATGAAATTACTATCTTATAAAATAAGAAAAAAAAATTAAAATACCACAAAAAATATATTATATTATTTAATTACTTTGTAATCAAATTTTATTTTATAATCAGACAATTCAGACTATTTGAAGATAAAACCACAAACCAAACTAATTATATCAATTTTAAAATTTGATAATTCAAATCAATCTAATTTTATATCGGTTTGAATCGATTTTTGATTAAATTGAATCAATTTAGATCGGATCAATCGAATTAAATCAAATATGAACACCCTTAGTTATTAGACTTGTTTTTCTTAAAATTTGTTAATGAAGACTAAGTATTCCATATATATATATATATATATATATA